GCGGCCGGGCGGGTTGGCGTGTGCCCTGAGCCGGCGCTTCTCGGAGAAGCCGTCTGCCGTGTCGGGCGGTGCCGTGGGCAGCGTGGGGCGAGAAGGGGCTGCCGAGGGTGGGCAAAAAGGGGGAGCTGAGTAGAGACAGCGGGACAGGAGAGGCGTTCAGCGGCCCGGGAAGGACACGGGTGTCAAACTAGTCGGGTTTGTTGGTTTTCGTACAACAAAGGGTTTCCCCTTACATCGGTGTTATTCAGCGATGTCGTTTGCACACCAAGCAACAACCGCAAATGAAAAGTCATGTGAACAGCCCCTCATGTCTTCGCACACAATAGATAAACGTGTTCGTGCCTGCTTGTGGGCAGTGGGAGCCGGGGCTTTTTCTCCCCAAGAAAGAAAGATCATATAATCTTTGTGTTCAAGAGGGTGAGGCATACTCAGCTAGTTTACGTCAGAATTACAAAGCCCAGTGGATAGCATTGCCACCCTGTGCCTCAGTAGCAAGTGACTGTTTCACGAAGGCACCCCTTCATGTAACGGGGTAACACTTGCGGGTCTGTGATCGGCCTTCTTGCTCACCCCTTCTCAGCACTGCAGGAACACCTAAGGAGATGACGAGACATTTTATTTTTCCCTCTGCTTCCTATCAAAGGGCGAACACAAGCTTCCCTTTTCTTGCTGGTGCTTCAGCATCTCTTCTGCCGAGGATGTCAAACTCACCAGAAGGAGGAAGAAACCAATTCTGTGTTTCATTGTGATCTGCGTCCTGGAGTGTAAATTCAGAACTAAGTACTTTCTGCAAACCATGCCGAATGACTGTTGTTATCAGTAGGAGGTTTGCAATAAAGGGGAGGAAATTGTCTTTGGATAGTAAATAAAAGTTTCATAATTCTTTATTTCTGTCACATTCATTTTTAGTAAGTTCTTGTTTGGTTTTCAGAGTGCTACCTTATCAGCTCATCGCTATTTGTGTCCTCATTTTTCTTCTGCTTTTCTTTGCCTGCTCTGTTTCTTTCCTAGTGACTTTCTTTACCCATGGCAGCTCCCAGCTGATGAACCTCACTTGTGTTTTTTGCCCAATCCACGCGCTAAAACCACCAGTGATTAAGTCATTGAGGTTGGTAGTGAAATGTCATTGTAAGTTCTTACTCCACTCAGGTTTAGGGTGTTGCCACTGTAGCCTTAAAGGCTTTTGAATATCTCCAAGGTCTCCACAACTTCTCTGGGCAACCTGTTCCAGTGCTTGGTCACCCTCACAGTGAAAAAGTGTTTTTCATCATGTTCAGAGGGAACCCCCAGTGTTTCAGTCTGTGTCCATTGCCTCTTGTTCTGTCACTTGGGCACCACTCCAAAGAGCCTGGCTCCATCTTCTTCGCACCCTCCCCTCAGATATTTACATACACTGGTAAGATCCCCCCTTCTCTAGCCTCCCCCCCCCCCACCAGTTCTCTCAGCCTTTCCTCATATGAGAGATGCTCCAGCCCCTTAATCATCTTAGTGGCCTTTCACTGGACTCTACCCAGTGGAGAGACAGCACTGCAGGTGTGGCCTTACCATCGCTGCGTAGAGGGGAAGGATCACCTCCCTCAGCCTGCTGGCAACACTCCTGCTAATGCAGTCCAGGATGCCATTAGCTGCCTTTGCTGTAAGGGCATGTTGTTGGCTCATGTTCAGTGTGCTGTTCACCAGGACCCCCAGGTCCTTTCCGCAAAGCTGCTTTCCAGCTGGTTGGTCCCCAGCATGTACTGGTGCCTGGGGTTGTTCCTCCCCGGGTGCAGGACCTTGCACTTCCGCCTCCTGAACTTCGCAAGGTTCCCGTCAGCCCATTTCTCCAGCCTGTCAAGGTCCCTCTGGATGGCAGCAGGGCTCTCTGGTGTACCAGCCGCTCCTCCCAGTTTTGGGTCATCTGCAAACTTGCCAAGGGTACAGCCTGCCCCATCGTCCAGATCATTAATGAAGCTGTTGAACAAGACTGAACACAGTATTGGCCCCTGGGGTACACCACAAGTTACAGGCCTCCAAGAGGCCTCCTTTGTGCCATTGATTACCACCCTCCAGGTCCGGCTGTTCAACTAGTTTTCAATCCACCTCACTGTCTGCTCATCCAGCCCATACTTCATCAGCTTCTCAATGAGGATCTTATGGGATACAGCGTCGAAAGTCTAGGTAGACAATGTCCACTGCTGTCCCCTCGTCTACCAAGCCAGTAGTTTGATCATAGAAGTTTATCAAGTTGTTCAGGCATGACTTCCCCTTGGTGAAGCCATGCTGACTGCTCCTGATGACTTTCTTGTTCTTCATGTATCTGGAAATGGTGTCCAGGATTAACCACTCCATCACCTTCTCAGGGATCAAGGGGAGGCTGACTGGTCTGTAGGTCCCGGCGTCCTCCATCCTGCCTTTCTTGAAGTTAGGAGTGGCGTTTGCTTTCCTCCAGTCCTTGGGCACTTCTCCCAGTCACCACGATCATTCAAAGATGATCAAGAGTGGCTTTCCACTGACATCTGCTAGCTCCCTCAGCACTTGTGGGTGCTTCCCTTCAGGGCCCATGGACTTACATATGTCCAGTGTGCTTAAGTATTCCCTGACCTGATCCTCCTCCACCATGGGTACATCTTCTTTGCTACAGACTTTCACCTTGGTCTCTGGGGCCTGGGATTCCTGAAGGGCTGTTACATCAACATTTAATACAGTATTTGAGAATATGGGGGCTAGGCCTCTGGGAGGAGGAACAGGTTGCTGCCTGAGAAGCAATTTGATCATTTCGTGTTGTAAATACATTGTCCTATACATCACACCTATAAGCTGCAAACTTGTCAGGGCCAGAACATGGTTTTATCTGCTGTAGGTAGTTTACTTCACAGACATAAGAAGAACGGGCTACTCAGAGGTCAAAGTATTTGCCGAGGACACAGGGAAATCCTGCACTCCATTCACTGACCAGCTGCCTTCTGCCTGTCTGACTCCAGGCAGGTGATTTAGAGTACACCTGCATGATACCAAGCAGCAAGCTGCTGAGATCTCCAGAGATCCACAACCAGAGCCATATTGCTATGTTAGCACAGCTCCGTACATAGGTTAATTGACCCTGCTGAGAGAACAAATTGATTAGCCGGGCTACTTTTAAGATCCAAACCAGTATCTTTGCTGGACCAGCTTGTCTGCAGATAGCTCAGGGATTTCTAATACGGCACTGCCTTGTGGCAGACAAACCTGCCCTTAGCTTGTCCCATGTTTCAGTTCCCCACATATGCCACATAGACAGTTTTCTTTAACTGGCAGGAATTTTGTGAGTCAATTAGTGAACATGAAATGACAAGAATAAAAGAATACATTGAGATATTAAGAACAGTTTTCCTTTGCAGAACTTTATCAGCTATCTTGTTACTAGAAATATTTTACATTTTTACTTTTGAAGTATAGCAAAAATATGTCACAGCTAATATTTAATTCTTTTCCTTTTTCGTGCACCTGTGAACTTGGAATAGCCATCTCTGAACATTCAGGATCTTACCCATCAAAGCGTAGCTCTGGGGATGCGATTAGTCAAGTAATTAGTTGTTCATAATTCCATGTACTCTGAAGCTGGGAACTGTGCTTCTAACTTGCTCCTAGGTTCTGCTATGTGCTGTATTTCTAGTGAGGAACTTCTCTATGTCCCAAATCCCAGCTTTTCTTTTAATTAGCAAGTATATATCTCTGTCAATTGTGGTTGCAAGGCAAGTTTAAAAAATGTAAAGTGAGTAAGATTGATACACGGTTGATTTTACAAGGGTTCTGGAACAAGAGTTATAAATGCATCGTTCATCATGGTTACCTCACATGTCCCGTTTTGGTCCTTTGAAGTATGAATTTTGTTAACCGTTTTACTCTGTGCTGGAAAGGCAAAAAGAAAACTGTAGACCTGTACCTGTAGCTTACTCTGACCTAGTCTATGCTAGAATGTTTTGCTGGTAGTGCTACCGTAGGCACATGAACAACAAAGAAAGATCTCGCCCATTAACCAGTGCTGCCAGGTTCATCATACACCTGTTCAGAGATGCTCTTTTTATCCTGCAGACAGAATGTGGGCAGAATTTTAGGAGCTTGACTGTTTGAGCTTTCCACATTTGTTGCAGGTGGGTGGAACGGTGGCTTGGACTTGGCACAGGCAAATGTGTATGCCAGGGTGGGACACAGCAGGGTGTGCACTCAGACCTAGCACCCAGAAAGTGCAAGATCTGAGACTACCCTGAGTCTCATGTTATAGACATAAGCAAAGGGAGCAGGATGAGATCACAGTTATTTAATCAATTTCATTTTTAAAGCTGTGAGCAGAACAATGACAAAAAAAGCACAGTAGGTTCAATCACTGCAATTAAATGATCACTTATATAATTACAATGCACAGAGA